TAACAACCTGATTGGTGATGAATTGCTGCGAATTACAACAGACGCGTATAAATTCCTCTACACCCTCAAAGAATTTAGGTTTTATTCCCCCCTGACTTGGGTGCAACCTATCATACATCCACTGACAATTTCTGAGATATATCTTCCTCAAGAACTATATAAACCTAATACAAATATACAATTTGGTATCAACCTTCTAAAATACATTACAGAAATTTTTAATATAAATTTTGGCAGAATCTCCCCTAATACATGTTAATTTCCTTACTTTTGTTTACCATTTTTTTACAAAAATGAAAATTTCACCTAAAATCAACTACTAAATTATATAACAATAAATTATTCGATACATCAAACATAAACACATCACAATCCTAAACCGTTCTAGAGCACATCTCCTTGTAACTCCACAACATGCATATTCTACAAACTCCACAAACCCAAACAATCCCACAACACACAATAATCAGGTTCGGAGAAGGACCTCTACGCCCTTCCCCCCAGTCATACAATCTCCAATCCTACAACTCTATCTTAGAAATTTTAAGTCTCTAAAAAACATAAAAAATTAAAAAACTAAACCGATTAAAAGTTTGAGTATCGTACCAGGAATACAATGATGCAAAAAAACTTTCAAATGGTTGCTCCAATCACTCGCAATGGCCAAAACATTAATTTTGGGCGAGAGAGAGGGTTCTGATAATGGGCGAGGGGAAGAGGAGACGCGGTTTTTATGGGTTTCAGTCATTACAGACGGGAAAATCCATCTGTAATGGGTTTAATGAAACGGTGCGTTTTAGGTGGCAAATTACAGATGGATTTTTTTGTCTGTAAATGCGTCAATCCTTTTTACAGACAGAAAAATCCGTCTGTAATTTGTCACCTGAAAGGTCGGTTAAAACTGCCATATTTATAGACGAAAAAATCCGTCTGTAATTTCCCGCTATAATATTTCCTCCTATTTTCAAATTACAGACGGAAAAATTCGTCTGTAATTGCTGTCTATAACGTTTGGCGCCAAAAGGCGGATTAAATACAGACGGATTTTATAGACGGATTTACAGACAGATGTTTCAGAAAAAAAAAAAATTATTCCACAAATCCGTTTGTAAAGCCGTCTGTAATATAGACGGATTAAAATCTGTCTGTAAAATTTGTCTGTATTAAGCATATTTCTAGTAGTGACTATTAATGAGGGTGTGTTGAAAACAAAATTTAATTTGATAATATATAAATTATCAAAATTGCATTGAATATTTTTATATTTGATTCTATTCTTTATTTTCTTCATTATTCAATATGGAAATACTTTTCAGAAACTAAAAAAAAAAAAACTATATATCAGTGATTGTTATGACATACTATAATGGAAATAGCGATAGGGAAGTTATTAAAATGGAGAAAGGTAAGACTTACTAGGGCTTGTTTGTTTTCTCTTTGTAAATATAATTTTTTGTTTTTAAAATTGAAAAACAGAAAATTTTATTTATTAATGTAAGTTTTAAAAATCAATTTTAGAAATAATTTTGTATTTTCAGTTTTAAAAACTAAAAAAACATAATTACTGTTTGGATATTTTTGTTTTTATATTTTCTGTTTTTCTTTCTAAAATTAATAAAAGTTTAACTAAAAACAGATTTAAAAACTAAATTATCAAAGAATTTTTATTTTTTTAAAATAGTTTTATAAAATTATTTTACAATATAACTTTTAAAAATTAAAAATTAAAAATAAATTAAACAAGCTCTTAGTTTTATTCTCTTCCTTATGTCGTTGTTATAACATTCAATCTTTTCATATTTGTTTATTGGTACAAGGATTTCAGAAATTGATCTAATATTTAAATTGTAAAAAATAGATTAAAATAAATTCATTTATTATAAGAATTTCACAAATTTATAAGGAAAGAATGTATGTATATTTTAATTTATATGAGTCAATGTATTTATATTTATTTAAAAATTCAAATTATTTTACCCAATAAATCGAACTATACAATAGCTTATGATGAAATATTGAACATCTTATATAAATTTCTTTCTTATTTTCATTTTGTATTCAAAGTTTTATTTATTATAGTTGTCTCTAAAAAGAAAAATCAAATAAATGATTCGATTAGATCCAATTTAATATTACATTTTATCTAATTAAAATAAATTAAACTTTATTTTCATAATCGAATTGAATAAAAATTTACCTAAAATTAATCAAAATTAAACTGCAAAACTCCCCTACCTTATCATCAAAGCCTGAATGAATGAATATCAAATAGTTTTCTCATAACATGCACATATATTTCCAAAACACCATTAACATATAGTAATCCGATAAAAAGAAAAGGATAGTAGCTATACCTCAATGTGAATATTTGTGGCCTTGCAAGGACCGTTTAGCTTTAATTTCTTCACTGAAAATACTTTTTTTGGTGGTATCAATAGAGTTGTGGAACTTTCTGCTTCACACGTGCATTGCCATGCACTTAAAAATGCCTATAACATCATTTAAAATACATCTTATTAGAAAGTCACTCAATTGGTTGAAATCATCACAGTCTATAGTATCAAATGTTTAATTAGATATAAACTTCTCCTTAAATAGAAGCATTAATTTTCTCATGATGTATACATAGATTAAGATTATATTGTATAGAAATTGACAATAAAGCGGAAACTTATATATATATATATATATATATATATATATATATACATACATGTGAATCGTCCGTTTTTTCATCGCTACGAGCTCCATGTTCCATCACATTAAAATAAATCATTGTTTGATCCAATCCTCCTTAGTCACAAAGAGGGTAAAACAAAACAAAGAATCAAAATACAAGTGATTAACCTTTTCATGCTTAACTAGAATATATGATAGTGAATAACACACTTAGGAAGATTAAGAGAGCTAAAGTGATTTGTGAAGGGAGAATAAGTGTAGGAGCTCATATATAGAAGCTTACTTCTCTATAAGTGGAAACAAATGATTAAGGAATAGGTTGAAATTAATATAGGAAACTAAACATACTAATTTGAATTTTTTTTTTATAAGTTAAAATATCCTTATATTAATGGTATAAAAAATTATCCTAAAAACATTACTCATCTTAAAAGCAACTATATCTTGTGGCCAGATAAATAATCCACATTGACTAACAAGTATTCAATATGTTGTATTAAATACTTTTTATTGATATACAAATCATTTATTATATTAAATATATAGAAAATAATCTAATACTTACCGCTTTAATTTAATTGATTGAAAGTATTTAGTTGAATCCAATAAAGGAAAATGGTAAAGCAAAGTGTGATTCTTTAATTGATGATATTCAAAGTTATATGTATCTCTTTTTCATTGTAATCAATGAGATTAGAAAATTACTCAGGTAGATAAAGTTTGTTAGATTCAATCATATTTTTAAAAAACTAAACAAAGTACTTGATTGATTAAAATAGAATCAGAAGTTGAGTTTTTTTTTTGTTTTTTTTTATATGCTTTAAAGACTTTGTAGCCTAGAATGTTATTTAGGGGTTTGTTTATTTTTGAATTTTTAAGTCCCATTTAATAATTAAGAAACAAGTTAAGAAATAAATAAATAAAATTTAATAAAAATTTTCAATTATATATAAATTTTCTTAAATATAAATAGACATCTCAATTATATTTCTTTTTCAATTCCAACACAGCGGTACCTATTTAACTATGTAAAATTCTGTTCAATAAAGGAGTATTTTTAACTTAACAAAAAATTATTAAAATGATTAAATATAAGAAAATATTTAAAAATCATTAATTAATTAACTATAATATTAATAATTATCTTTAGAAACTAATTAAAGATTTTAAACACATTTAATTAAAGATATTAAATATTTATTGATCAACTAATATGTTTTGGACAATCATTATTATAGGTTATGTGGATAGAAGACAAATCACGTGTAAGTTTTGATTTTTTATTTTATTTTAATTATTTTAAGATTTTTTTTAACATACTATATATATATATATATATATATATATATATATATATATTACATGGATTACTCACTAGTATGTTAAAAAAAAATCTTAACCATGAGTCTAAACCATAAAAGTGAATGTTAAGAAACAGAGAGTCCAGAATATTAACATCCATGAGACTCACTGTCTTGTTTGGGTAACAATTGAAATAGACCAGACCTTGACCGAAGCTAGTTTCTACAGTTCCTATTAAGGAGTCTTCAAACTTATTATATCTGACATCTTCGAGATATATTAAGATAGCAGCATCTATATCTATATCTATCAACGGTTTGATGGCTACTTAGACACATCCTATATGGAGGAATTTGTATTTTTTTTTATGTTCATTGACCGAGTGTTTCGACAAAAGGTGGAATTCTTCTCATGTCTTAACCTAGGGGAATATTGTTCTCTTATATTTTCAAATTCTTAACAAGGAGCCTTGATTTTCAATAATAACTTTAGATAATTTGTAATTAATCTTAAGCTTTGAGCCATTCACAATGCTGAGTTTTTCAGAAGTTTTTTCAAAACACTTAGTAGGAATTAATCCTTGTAAAATAAAATTTGAATCTTGACTTTTAGACACTGGTTTGTTGCCTTCACTTGTACCTTCATTTCTTTGTGATGCAAATCGGCAAACATCTGTTGAATGTCCTGTCTTTCTACAATGGTTGCACATTACAGGTAATTGTGTACAGCTCCTCACTCGATGTGGTCCTCCACATCTAAAACATTTTATTAAATCTAAGGGATCTTTGTTCTTAGATGCGGATTTCTTAATTTCACCAATGCTTCCACTTCTTTGCGGTGTATGCCAACAAACACTTTCCGTATGCCCCATTCTTCCACAATAATTACACTCAGTAGTTAGTTGTAGGTAATCTTGTACTCTGTGAGGTCCTTTACATTTAAAACATCTAGCCTTGCTACAAGAGTTCTTTGAATTATCATGGTCACTACCATAAGGTGTCTTTTTCTTTGCTCACTGCCTAGTGGTTTTTGAGCAGGTCTCTTGAAAATCTATTAACCTTCTTTTCTTGTCTCAATAACCCTCCAGTTTTATCATTCACTAACTCCCCTTTCAAACTATCTTCTAACATTATACACTTACTCACTAATGTTGGTAAATCCATTAGTTGAAAGATACTAACTACTTTACGAAGGTCACTCCTTAGTCCATTCTCAAATTGATTACACCAATCTTTGTCGTCGTTCTTTTGCTGAAAATAAATCCAATATTTCATCAGCTCATGAAATTTTACAGCATACTTTTTGACTAACATCTCTCCCTGCTTTAATCTAAGGACTTCCCTTTCCTCTTGTTTCTTCAGATCTCCTGGAAAATGATTCTCCAAAAAACTTGTCTTAAATGTATCCCAAGTGACGAATCTACCTTCCTTTGATAAGATGTCGCTTGTGATTTTCCACCAATCTTCTACCTTTCCAATCAACATAAACGTAGCATAGTCCACTTTATGTTCTTCTTGGCAATCCATTGAACTAAAGACTCGTTCCACATCTGCAATCCATTTCCAGGCTCTTTCCGAGTCAAATTCTTCTTCAAACTTTGGAGGACGATGCCCTATGAATGTCGGTAAACCATGACTTTTAACTACTTCTGCACTCTGATCATACACTAAGAGTTCTGACACTTGAGCTATATTCACTGGAATCTTAGCGGTGGCTTCAACTAAACTATCTCTACCCATCATTTTTTTAATTTAGATAAACACATCATATGTATGTTAGTAAGCTTATTGTTCACATATGTATACATACACACATTAAAATAAAAAATTTCACATAAATCTCCATTTGGAGTACAAAATAGGTCACACTAATAAACAATTATTTTATGTTCATATTCTACCATATACTAATATAAATAACATTTAGTACCGCGAACTAGTCCCATACCCCAGGCTTGTTAGAACGAACTGCTCTAATACCATTTTGTAACATCCTTCTTTTTATATAAATAATTTACTTTAATAACTTATCTTATTAAAAACATGATTAAGAAAATTCGTAGAAAATTATACAATTTTAAAGAAATGACACAACATGAAAATATAAATAATCAAATTTGGCAAATTTATAAATATTACCAACTTAAAAGTTCAGTGTCAATGAAATAAAAATACATAAATGAATTTATACATCTATTACATTAAATTAATTATATCTGAGCAATTCTTTTCCCACAATCTTTGACGAGTATGACCCTAGAACAAATAATTCATCTCCATTTCTTTTTCTTCATTACCTGAAAAATATTAGTAAGGGTGAGTATTTCCTACTCCACTAAATCTCTTTTATTATAAATTCTTTTAAAAGCACTAAAGTTATTGCCTAATATCCTATTCTAATTCATTATCAATAGTGCACAATTCATATTGATACTCATCACATCCAAGCACATACAATAAAACAACCATCAATCAGAGCATATACAACAATTCACTCATTACACATACATTTCTATGTTGACCTATATGTTATTATACATGTATCATATTGTCTTGATTAATATGTCACAATACATGTGTCCTAGTCACACTCATTGATGTACTACAACACACATATCATAACAACATAAATCGATCTGTTATGATACATATATTATAATAATACAAATTCTATACTATTTTACATCTATAACACTTTCATAATAAATGCCCTTGTGATTCCTTAAGGACTTCCTAGCATAGATAGCTTCGTCAAGAAATGAGGGTATAGCCTGTGAATGTCTATTTTTCAATAAATTATTGTGCACTATTCTATCGTTAGCATTCACCATCCTCATTTTTCCAAGATTTCCTAAATCTTCTCCAAACTTTATACCCCCAGTGTCTTGTTATACTATCTATACTTATTCTCTTTCTCATCATTTTTCATTTTCATATTCTTTTTACTAATCAGCATGTCATAATATGTGAGTTACAATTGATATAAATTTATGGATCACAATATATATTATAATACATCCTTCAGTATGTTATAGTATATAATATATATCGTAATCACCCTTTCAAGTCATTCTGATCCACGCATCATAATCATGCATCTCTTTCTTTCTCTTTTATACATCATATACTTTCAGAATCAATCAATACTTTAATTATTCATGTGAATTTACTCAATTGAATACATTTCAACTATTAGATCATATCTATAATTATTGCATCATGTCAGTCTAACAGAAAAAGTTATCATAAATATCACACCATACAATCAATACAATATATCGATCTTAGCATAAAAATTATCACACAATATCACACCATACAATCGATCCAATATGCCGAAGGTAAGACACCTTTGGACTCAGTCCAACTCGTATAATTTTAATATGGTCTTCTATCCTAAAGTTCAATATTTTGTGTCTTTTATTACTTAACTCAGATACATTCTAAGTAACTTAGCCTTAAAACTTCTTGATGTTGTTCTAACTCATAGCTTTCTTTATACCAAAAATTCATTTTTACCGTACGATTTCATAAAAATTATAGATTATTACTAAAATAGGTTATTCAAATTCTCCTAAGACCATTATATATGTATATAAAACTAAGGCTCAAGAATACTCCCCTTACTTAGTAACGGTTCTTCAAAAAACTAGTTTCCTAAGAGATCTTCGGAGAGATTCCACGATATCAACAGAGATATTGTCTAAAAGATGTAGTTTCCTAAGTATTTTAAGAAAGATGTCTTAATATGAGAAGAAAACTAAAGAAAAAGAATAAAATAGAGATCTAAGCTCTGAGAAACTTACTTAGATTGAGTCCAGAGAGCACCTATCTTTCTTGCGACTCTTCGTCTGGGCGAGCTCTATCTCGCTTGGGCGAGCTGCTCTTAGCCTGAGCAAGATCCCCTTCTCGCCTAGGCAAGAGGACAGTTAGGGCAACGTTATCTCATTCTCGCTTGAGCGAGACTCATCTCACTTAAGCAAGGGGTTCTAGAACGTTCTATTTTAGGAAATCCTACGCCGCTTGAGCAAGATATCCTTTATCTAAATTCCTATTTTTCCTATCCAAGAATAACAAAATTGAGGGTGTTACGCGGTCTAGGATCATATTTTCAATGATATTGCAAGGAGGAATTAGCTCTATTGGCTTTAAATTGTATTTAAAATTGTGAAAGTTTTGATTAAGTCTTAGTAGAATTAAATTTCTGATATGTAAATAATGTATGATGAATTTAAACATTGAGAGGTTTGATAAGAATTTTTTGTGAATAATAATTTAAATTATATTTGTAGTATTCATCAATTAATTTCATCAATACTATTATTTTTATGTTGAATTTTGTTTTTAATTGAGAAAAATTCATTTCTAATATTTTTACGAAGTATTATGATAGAATTCATTTTCAAAAAAGTTTCAATGTTATTTATGTTTATGCTACTCATTTTATCTTATAAATTGATTTTATTTATTTTAAATATTTATTAAATAGTACAAATAGTAAAAATATTACAAATATGTTCAATTGAAAAAAAGTTCAAATTTTCTCACATATTTATACTTCTTGAATTGAATAAAATTAATTTATTCTTTCGCTTTACAATAAATTATTATTTATTTTTAGAATTCAAAAAGTAGAATATTACAATTTGTATTTTATTGAAATATGTATTTTTTATTGGAAAGTGTGAAAATTATTCTTTTCACCCTTTCATTCGTCTAGGGACATCCAATTTGTTTTGTTCCATTTTCTTTGGTTTTATTTGGAATTCAGCTATATCACTTTTTTTTAATTCTATAAATATTTTGTTCTTTTTTAAACATGCATCATACATAAAATAAAGCTTACGTATTTAATTAGTTCTGTCTCATTTTAGTAGGATCATAAAATGCTACTGATGTCAAATTCTGAATGATTTGGTAGTCGAAAATAAATGATTCTTAAACTCTATACAAGTAACAAAGAGAGATAAACCATCAATGCAATGGCTTATACCTTACAGACTTTCTTTTAAATTTTTTTTCTTTTTCTTTTTTCTTTTTTCTTTTGGTTCACTTGAGGTTTGAACTCGAACAAGACGGACGGGCATCTACTACTGACCCTAAATGAGTTGATACAGAGGACATGCCACCATAAGAAAAAAATCTCTCCATAACAAAGTTGAGGTTTTAACGTATGACAATTTTTTAAAACAATAAATAATATATATATATATATATATATATATATATATATTTTGTGTTTATCAACTTAAATTACAAACGTATTATAAGGGACAATTACAAAGGAACTCAATTTCTTCCATTAAAGAAATAAATATCATCAACCTCTAACAAGTTTATGTATGTCGTGCAATTTTCCTAACAAGTTTTTGTTACCGACTTTGCATATTCTTCATTTTTTTCAATTTGACATATTTAATGGTATGTGTTGGTGTGTGATTCTAGTAATGGTGTAACTGATATTAACCTATATACTTGTCTAGAAGTCCCAAAAAAATAAAGCATATTGTTGGCCAATTTACTATATTAATGGGTACAAATTTTAAACTATTGAATCATGTAAAGGAAGAAAAATAAATAACAGTAGGGTTAGTGTCAAAGGAAATTCAAGTGCTTGTGATTGTTATTGGTATGATAAACTTAAGGAAATAGTTGAGATAGAATATGATGGTGAAACTATAAAAAGAATTATCTTATTCAAGTGTGAATGGTTTGATCCAACACGCTCAATAGGAACACCTAAACATAACCAGTACAATATAATTGAGATTAACCATACCAAAAGATATAGAAGCTTTGACTCGTTCATCATTGCACAAAATGCAAGACAAATATATTTCTTATCTTATCCTGAAAAATATAATAAAAGTTGGAGGATCGTAATAAAAAATAAGTTCAAGGGTCAGATTAAAATTGATGAAGTAAATGATGATGATGCATATCAAATTAATGACTCAATTTCTTCACGTGTAGTAATAGACACTATTGTCTCTCCCACCTTATCTTCTCCTTTGAAATAATTAACCCTTCTACCAAAGCTTTAAGAAATAATGAAAGGGACAACATGACTGAAGATGAGGAGGAAAAATTTGTGGATGACATTTCATCTTAGAATGATGATGGTAGTGTTGAACTATCAGATTCAATGAGGCAAAATAAGTAGGTTAACACATATTATGTTTCTATGATTAATTATTTTGAGTATTCACCAATATTAATAATGTTTTATAAAGACAATTATATTAGTTTCTAAACATATATTATATTTCATTTAGATATGACAGTTAAAGGCAAGAAAGACGTTGCTCAACATCTTGATTGTGACAACACTCCTTCACCCACCACTCCCACTTGTACCTCCATACTAGTTGCAATGTAGACCTCCTAAGCTAAGGGTAGGAGCAGTTTATCATGGTGACCAACCTTGGGTATGTGGCTACTCCTGCTCTAGTACCGAGAGTTTCACATGGCACATGCGAGAGATCCACTAGTGTTGCAGCTATAAGTGGGCAGCAGTCATCACAAATTCATGCATCATTGAGATCGTTTCTAGGTTTGAAATGGGATGGATCTACTTGATAAGTTAAATTCAAAATATGGTTAATAACTCAATTTGATGTGAATGTTATAATAATTATGTTATTTTATTGTGTGTTTAGTTGGTATCCACTACAAAAGGGTCTTCACCAGGTAACGGATACCATCAAGAAAGTATTTGATGTACCTTACACAAGTTTTGC